ATCATCCCAAGATTCAAAAACTTTTGTAAATAAACCTCTAAGAGGATATTTGGGGTTCTCCTTTTCCACGTTAGCCGAGCTGCTGGCTACCTGGTGCGTCCACAGTTGGCGGATAGTGGCTCGGCCTTCAGTGAAGGTTAGCTGCGAAATAAGTAGGTTCCTGGGTCTGGCAAATAAGCACTCTCGGATGAGCAGCGACAGTGCTGTTAGGGCTCGGAGGACTGACGTCTGGCGCACCAACTGACTTATAAAATGTCGCAAGTCCCAATGACGGCACTGTGGCATGGAGACCGTTAACCGCCATCAAATAGGTTTGCTTGCCACCGCTGCCTTATAGGCAGGTTTTTTAGCCAAAGTTCTAGAGGAGACAACCTCGAACAAACTATCCGAACGGCTGCTGGAAATCCGCCTGGATTCCAAACCCCCCAGAACCCTCATTCAAATTTCTACTCACGGTATTACGCTCCAAGCTAAAGCGTCCGCGGCAACCGACGCGCCCCGTAACACTTGTCCAGTCGTGCGGGCGAATAGTATGCGAGCTGGACTACTCAACTGGGAACGGACTCTTGCGATCGGGTGCTGGAATGGGTGAACACTTCTGGACTCTGGTACCCAAAGTCTGACGGTACGCAGTCCATCAATACCACGTGAATGCTTTCTGTCTGTCCAAAGTTCAAGTCTTTGACTCAGGCGCTCGGGGAATAAAATCCCAGGAGTCAATTCCCACTTCACCCTGTATCAAATTGCTCACGCGACTCTTCCGGTAGGCACGGTGTGGCTACTGCCCTCTCGGAATAAGCAAACCGTGCACTGCTGGCATGGGAACCAGTCAATGACCGGGCGGCTTACGTTCAACTAATGGTCACTTTAGGAACATCTCGGTCGTCTCTGTGTATGCACCAAAATCAGCTGCCGAACAGTAAGATAAGGAGAACTTCTACGCGCAGATGAAGGAAATAGTTAAAAGACTTCCTCTCTGTGATCTCTTGACTGTTGTCGGGGACTGGAATGGCCAGACTGGACTCGGTGAATCGTCAAACGGTCACCCTATTGGTTGTTTTGGGCCTGGTTCTCGGTCCGACAATGATGGGAGAATGCTGCATTTTGCTGATCAGAACTGACGGTTTGTCACCAACACGTACTTTAGCATCGTTACAAACATCTACTGACCTGGTATTCAAACGACGGCCATACCACTAGTCAGACTGATTATATTTTAGTCGGTTCAGGGTTCTGCAGTTGGGTCCACGACAGCAGGTCGATGCATGTTGCCGAAATTGGTACTGTGCACGAGTCTGACCATGTTCTCGTTCGCACACGTCTGAAGCTTCACCTTTCATCTGCGCCCAAAATGCCATGTGCGAGATGCCTTGATGTCGCAAAACTCCTTACTGTTGTCCTTCTCAGGAGAGTTCATTCTGTACGAGACTCTAGGACGAGGCTCAACACAGCCGGATTCCGAGGTAGACGTGGATATGTAGACCAGATATCCAGACTGAGGCGCATTCTGGAATTCCGCCATGGCTATCAGCAGCCGATGGCCGTTTATTTTGTCGACTTTGCCGCTGCGTTCGATTCCTTCCATCGTTAGTCCCTGAGGCGAATAACTGAAGCAGATGAAGTACCGACCAAAATCATTCCCATGATCAAGGCCCACTATCATTCCACCAGCGCGCGAGTTCTGGCCCACAACAATCTCTCTCAGTCGTTTGATATCGGGTCTGATGTTCGACAAGACTGCGCCCTGTCGCCCACTCTGTTTAACAACGTCATTCGTTGGATCCTCGGAAAGGCCATACACGGTTTTAACTGTGTGAAGTTTGCACCCGGACACCGATTGACTGACGATGACTACGCCAAGGATATTGGCTTGCTAGCATCAAACTTTTATAACCTAAGATATGTAGGGTCATGGGTAAACGA